TTCTTTTTTTTTTTTTTTTAGATTTACTTATTTATTTATACAAGCACAAGTACAGTCAGAAGCACAGGAGGGTGAGAGGATTCACCAGAGCCAGCGTGGGGAACACAACAGGCAGACTGACGAAGTACACTGCTAAGGGGAGCAGCGGGCACAGCAGGAGAGGTCTGCGCGCTATGTGGGACCCTTGCCGGCTGGCTGGGGATCGAACCAGTACTGCAGAGGCTGCAGGCAGCTTCGCAGCCCAGCACTCAACCGCTGCGCCGCTGGGGAGGCCCTCAAAGAATTTTCTTGTGTTAGTTTTCTACTGCTGCTGCAATAGATGACCACAAATCTGATGGTTTCAGACAACTTGTTAGGGCATAGCTCTATAGGTTACAGGGCTTAGAATTCATTTCCTTTTCTAGCTCCCAGATGCTGTCCACATTCTTTGGCTTGTGGCCCCTTCCATCTTCAATGGTTTGTTCAGTCCTTCTCACATTGCATTACTCTGCTCTCCTCTCTTGCTCTTCTCTTCTACTTTGAAGAATTCACCTTACATTAGACCCATATGGGGAATCCAGGATAATCTCCCTAATTTAAACTGGTTAGCAATCTTAATTTCAACTGAAAGCTGAATTCCTCTTTGCCATTTAGCATATTAACATATTCCCAGATTCTGGGGATTAGAACATGGGCACTTTTCAGGGGGTGGTATAAGGCCATTATTCAGTTTTTCACAATGTTTGATTAAATTTTTAGAGTGAATTTATTCACGCTATAAATTTATGTGCCCTATGGGCACAGCTCAGAGTATAGGGGTCTTGAAAAGCTAAGAATTCTCCAGCTCTGGACTTTCTGTGGCCCTTTTGTAGCTTTTTTTTTTTTTTTTTTTGGTATTTTTTTATTCAGCCATAATTATAGCTGACTCTGGACATCTCAGAAGATGTCGTTAGCCTCTCAATTCTAGGTTTATACACATAGAAACAATCTACACAAAGCCAAAGAACTCAGCTAGCTTCAGCAAATGTTGCTTGAGTATCAGGTTCCATTCTGGGCCAAGACCTAGGGATGGAAAGATGATTCCTGGCATGGGACTCACTGTGAATATCCTTCTGGTGTCACAAGGAGTGATGTAGGCAATTGATGGGCTCCTCTGGGCCAGTACCTTTCACTTATTAGGATGATCATAGTGGTTTCATGGAGAACCCAAGCTCCCAGTATATAGTCAGTCTGCTTAGAATACTTTCGAAGTGTTGCTGAAGTGTATGCAATTTATACAGTATGTGTTCCAAATTGAAGCTTTAGCTTGTGCCCAGGACAGAGAAGTATATTAGGGAAGCATTTTTAAATTTAATTCCTAATTTTTAGTTATGGTACAATACCACAAAACATACCATCTTAACAATTTTTTAAGTATACAGTTAATTACACTGTTGTACAACCAATCTCCAGAACTCTAAGGAATCGCATTTCTTAAAGGCCAACTTCACAAGTGATTGAAATTCTAATTTTGCTTCCTGAGGGACTATCTTGAACTTATAATGAAAATTAGCCTGTTACCTATGCCCCTGAGATTTCTCAGCAGATAATGCCTGTGGCTGTATATTCGAATGATATGTGAAGGACAATGACCAAATACCCAGAGATGTTTGTCTTCACAATGCCCAAGCACCGGAAGACTACCTACCAAAATCAACCTCCATCCTGGGAAAGGGTGGGGGTCCGGTCCCGGTGAACATATTTCCGGTAATGAACATGTGCGCATTATGTTTATCACGAGTTTTTGTCTCATTTTCATCCTCCACGCTTGCAGGTGACACCTTTTGTGGGGTTCCTGGAGGCATTTCAGAAAGGAGATTTGTTTAAAACTGGTTTTTGTGTTAGTGAAGACTTCAAAACTTTGAGTTTGTTTGTCAAAGATTCTGTTTATATTGCAAGTGATGTAAAATGTATATATTGTAGACATTCAAGAAAAAAAATGTATATATTGTACTGTTTTTCAGAAAGAGTTGTGATTCTTAGGCTAAAATACAGATCCCCGAAGACAGAGTTGGTATCTTTTGTTCTTGTTAGGGCCACCAGTGCCTCAACTATGACCGAAGATGTCAGAAAAGTCTTCACCAGCCTCATCTTGTCTCAGTCTACTTGATTTGTATTTTTGGGGCCTGAGAGTGACCATCCAGAGCCAGGGGGCCATCGATCAAACAAAATGATAATGATGAGGACAAAGGAAATTTTCTTTTTCAGCCCTGTTGTCCAAGGTTTATGTCTTTGGCCTGTCCCAAGAGGCAAAGCCAATTGGGGCATTCTCCAAAATGGCTTTTTATAGGAATTATTTTCTAGTATTCACATTTCATATCTACTAGGTTTCTTTTGCAAACCCTTATCACATTTACTAATTATGGAAAATACAGATGAAACCAGATTTCCAAGGGCCTCTCCGATTTCAGCATGTGGCCACTTTCTATAAATGAAGATTTCTCTCCTCTTTGAAATTGTTTTCTGGGCTGCCTTCAAAGCCAAATTTAACTATTGGGTCTATGAGTTGTAGAGATCAAGGACCCCATCTAGTGGGAACACATGAAGCTGCTGCTATAGCTGAGTGAAGGTGCCAGGGTGATGGAAATTTCTGTGGCACTCAAGAAAGCCTCTGCAGAAGCCTCAGTTCTAAATCTGCAAGACACCACCGGGGTGGGCAGCCAGGAAACGCTTTGTAAAGTGACATGTATGGCATGCGAGATGCTCCCTGCGTCCTGTCCTGAGTAGAGGGAAGCCTGATCCTGAGTCATTAGCAGTCAGCCTGCAGAGGAGCCTGGGCCAACTGGAAGATTCTAGAAACCCTGGAGCCTCGGCATTGGCAGTGATGGCCGTGATGGCAGAGTGGCAGTGGAGAGTCGCAGTGAACTGGAAAAGTCCAGGACACCAGCACTGAGCCCTGGTTCCTGAGGTGTGTGGGGAGTCTGTTCCCCAGAAGGTGAAGGGGCTTTCCTCAGTTGTTTCCTCAGGCAGTTCTTGCCTGGTGGGAGTGGAGTCCAGTCAATGAGCAAAGAGGTGGTGGAGGGAAATTGTTTCTTCTCCTTCTTGTATACTATAAACCTAGTCCCCAGCTGGTCATTTCACACTCTCCCTGGGCCTCTGGAGAATCCACACAGGCTTGTCCATTTGCAAGCCTCCTGGCTCTCCACTGGGCTGTTTCCCTTTAGTGACTAGTTTGTGATCAAGTGCCACCTCACCTGTGGGGACTTCCACTGCCTCTCCAGAAGCTGTCACCTCCCGCCCTCACCATTGTTCTCTGCATGACACCCTGTGGGTTTCCTTCCCAGTGCTTACCACAGCTTGCCATAATTTAATGTGTTTCTGAGTTTGTTATCCCCCTGGCCCCAGGACAGGGACTGTGTGCATCATGTGGCTGAAACCTGGGGCAGCACCTGTCGTCATGCAGGTGCCCCCTGTGCTTTATGAGGCACGAGAGGCCTGCGCTTAAGCACTGGGAGGCGGGGTGGTGGGAAAGACCCTTGAAGACCCCCGTCTGCTGGCACTGGGCTCGTTTCCTGCCTCTCCACTGGAAGTAGTAATAGCAGTGTAATTTACCATGGGTTGTTAAGGAAATCACATGGGTCCAAAGTGCTCTGCAGATGCAAAGCTCTATCAAGTGCTGTTTCATTTCCATTTGCCAGGTTCCATTTACTGTAAGTGCATTTGCTTTCCCGGAGCTCTCTTTATTAGGGAGAAGAGGCGTGAGGTGGGGGAGGACCCACCGTCCCCTGGAGCCCAGGTCCATACAGGGATCACAGACATCAGTGATGGGGGTGACCTAGGAGGCCCCCCTGTCCAGGGCTCCTTAGGTCTATCTGCATTTGGAATCAGCTGAGCCATTTGTAGCCACAGACCCAGCCCTCAGCCCTGAGGTTCTGGTTTTATTGGTCTGCAAGGAGGCACAGCACAGGGATGACAGCTCTGCAGTTGCTTCTAATGTGCACCCAAGGCTGAGGCCCCTGCTGGGATTCACAAGGAGGATAACAGTAGTAACCTTCCCAAGGGCACCTGCCCCAGCCCTGTTCCCTCTCTCGCCGTGCACAGGAAGGGAATTGGGTCACATGCCTGGCGGGATTTGTCCCACAGCGGGACTGAGTCTGAGAGGCTGGTCTCTTGCATTGAAGTTGAGAAAGCATGTCTATGCCATACTCAGTCAAAATTCCTGAGAGGAGATTGTGGAAGTCATGTAAATGTGAGGGGGAATCTAGTGCAGCATCCGCATCTGGCCAGAGCACTTGGGACAGAGACATGAAGTCAGCCCTGGAACCAGCCTGGATTGAAGCCCCTGCCCAGGCCCTCGGCCTGTTGTAAAGCTCCTTAGAGTCTCTGGCTGTCACAGCTGCAGCTGTTTTACTGGCTCCAGCAAGGGTACTGGGAGATTGACATAAACCAGGAAAATGCTGTGAGTTTCACATGGGGCAGAGATCAAAGTGGACCATTGGAGGCTGAGAAACCTGGTCAAGTGGTGGATGAAGGCCAGCAGACTTTAAGAAGAAGGAGAACCCCAGAGCCTTTGACAAAGGCTGATTTAGTTTACCTTTGAGGGAACACAGGAGGCTTGTTTTGTTCCAGATGGAACATTGCTCATGGATATGGAAAGGGGTGAGGATGCATCCAAGAATGAGTCAGTGTCCTGTGTTATCTCAGATGTGGCAGAGTTTTCAAAGGTCTCGATTCTGCAGACAAGCTGAAGCTTAGGGATTCTGGGGTGTCAAAGGAGGAACAGGCACTTTTACTTTTTTGAAACATGTACTACATATACAACTTAGAAATTTTAAAACAGATGAACAGATTAGGGTGTGTTTACATGTTTAAGTCTGATAAAGACATTGAACACACACCCAAACATGCAATGTATTAATAATTGCACTGTTTATAAGATAATCACAGGATTACATCTGTATGGGAACACAGTATACCGCAAGTGCTGTGGTCTGATAATGGGCCACAGGTTTAAAGCTGTATTGTATCTTTCTATTTCCTAGGTGTAGCTCAATGACTGGATGCCCTAGTCAGCGCAGCTGCCAGAATGAAATGGCCCAGATCAAGTTAGGGTTCTGGAAGCTAGAAGTCCAGGATCAAGGTGCCAGCTATTTTAGTTCCTGGTGAGGGCTCTCTTCCCGGGTTATAGATGACCGCCGTTTTGCTCTGACTCAAACAATGCAAAATGAGAAATAGAGATGTCATTGGTGGCTTTTCTTGCAAGGCTGCTAATCACACTATGAAGTTTCTTTCCTTGTGACTTAATCACTTCTGAAAGTCCTTGCGCCAAATGCTATCACATTGGGGTTATGACATCAACATCTGAATTGGGCGAGGACACAATCCAGTCTATTGCACTACCTGTGTCACAGTATTTGGGAGTCCCATCACTGGTCTTTGAGAATCTGCAAATGTGAAGCTTAACTCAAGGACATCTTCCTCCTCGTCTACAAAGCCTGCCCTCAGCCTATTTACATTCCACAGAACTGCACTGCAGAAAGCAGAGGAGAGAGGGAGCTGGGGGTATGTATGGGATGTCAGGGACCCTTTGATTACATACATCCTGATACTTCTACGAAACACTACGAAAACATGAAAAATGAAATCAAAGAAAAATATCTAACGATTAGAGAAAAGTTACTGTCCACAGAATATTGTGAAGTAGCAAACTCAGGCTTCCAAGCATAAACACAGTGTGAGTCTGTCGTTGACATGTATGCCCGGACACAGAGCGGAGATGGCAGTGTGCGTCCCGTTGAGGGGTCATGTGATTTCTAGTTTCACTGTTGTGCTTTTCTGAAATGTTTAGAGTATCTATAAAGAATGCGTTACTTTTATAATCAGACAAAAAATGCTATTGTAAAATACTAATAGAGAAGGAAAGAAGGGAGGCGGGGAGGGAAGGGTAGGAAGGGTTCCGCCGTATCTCAGTAGGTTGACTATTCCTCTGTCCAGGGGCAGCATGAAGTAGGAGACAGAAAAGGGCAGAGGTCAAAGGGCAGAGGGCAGGGGCTGGGAGCGATATATAGTTCCCCGGACAGTCTGTTCCTTCAACCACTCCTCTGAGTGAGTGGAGGCACAGACACAGCCTCTGCTCCTGCTCCCCCTGCAGCACCCTGGAGTCCACATGCAGAACGGGGTGGCCCACAGGGTGTCCAGGAGTGCCGCACAGCCTCCCCCTCAGAGGGCTGCTCAGGGTTTGATTCCATGCATTGCTGAGTATCTAAGACTTCAGTTATGAAGCATTGTTTAGAAGTTTTGCACAGGGCATAATTTGGGTTAATTAATCTGTATAAACACATACACACTTTATCAACACAATTTGCATAATGGGTTTGTTTAATTTCCATATGCACTCTTTAGATTTCAGGGTAACCAAAAGCTATGCATGTGTGTAGCTGTACACACATGTGTACACACATACCCTACAATGCACAGGCACACACATATAGCTACACACATAAACACAGGTACTCACATAGCACAAAACACACACACACACACTCCCCTCCCCTTAAGAGGCCAGATGCCTGACTCTTGCTGCTTTTCCCCTCTTCTAGATACTCTACCATGTCCCTGAGGGCTCACCTTGCCGCCATGCAGCCCTCAAAGGAGGAGCAGAGCGGCAAGGATCTGGAGAGCGCCTGTCACAGGGCGAGCCCACACTGTGTTGCTCACATTGTCCTCCTACTACACAGCACTGTCATGTTGCTGAGTCTTTGCTGGGGGAGTGACAGCTGCATGGATACACTCTCGGCAGCGCTGACTCACCCATCGCCCGTGGGGATGTGCTCCTCATTTCATACCCCTCCTGAAGCCCGTCCCCAGGGTGGTGAAGGGTTCTGTCTCCATGTGCCCTTTTCCTACTGGCTGGTCCGCCTCCTTGGTACCATTGCTGGGACGCCTAAGGATGGTTTGGGGAGCTTGTCCAGTGCCAGATGGTGAGTCCCTGGGTCCTGCTCTGTGATCAGGAGCTCCTGCAGCAGGGGGCCCTCTGAGAAACAGCACATTAGTATTCATGTCCCTTGATGGCTCTTAGGAAGAGAACTGGTCAAATCCTTCACTTGCAAGGTTGAATAAGATTCAGAATCAAATTAGTTCAGTAACAAGTGAACTGAGGGTTCTGTGCCTGGTAATGCCAAGCTGAGTGAGAATCAACTGGGGTTTTCTGGAGGATACATCCAACTTGGGTCTGGGATCCAAATCGACTTGGATTCACCAATCATCTACTTTGGTAGTTTATCTATGTCTCCCCAGCAAGAGAATGAAAATAACATACCCCAATTGTGGTGGGGAAGATTAGATGAAGTAACATAAGAGAAGCACCCAGAATAACCAGAAGCTCAGTCATGTGAGCTGGCTCAATAGTTTGGGGGGGCTCACCCCAAAGGCTGAGGGGCCAATGGGAGCCTGTGGGAGACCAGAAGGCAGGGTGACGTGAAGCAGGACATTTGCTAATGGACACATGTCCCTCAGACTCTAGCTCTTTGCTGGTGACCTTGTCCCCAGGCCTTTGTCCCTCCCCCTCCCCAGGAGTACAGGCAACCCCCTACTCATGCTAACCTGTAGCCATGTGCTTGCCTTGACTTCTCCATCCTGTGGAACCAATCCTCTCTTTGAAAATCTCTCTGCCTCAAATGGCTATCATTTAAAAAATAGTAAGTACCGGCTAGGGTGTGGGTGTACATTGTTGGTGGGATTGAATAGTGGTGCAGCCAATGGAAAAAAGTGCAGAGATTCCTTAAAAAATTAAAAATGGAGCTGTCATATGAGCCAGCAATTTCACTTTTGGGCATTTAATTGAAGGAAAAAAATCACTAATTCACAAAGATGTCTGTATCCCTTTGTTCATTGCAGCACTGCTCACAATAGCCAAGACAACAACTTGTGTCCATTGACAGATGAATGAAAAAAGATGTGGAGTGTGTGAATGTGTGAGAGTGCGTGTGTTTGTGTATCTTAACAATGCTTTGGCCAGAGGTAGATGCATATGCACCTGTGGTCCCAGGAGTCTATACCATGTAGCCGAGGTGTGTCGTAGACAGTATCACCTAGGTGTGTGTAATTACAACCGATGACATTTGTGTAAGAGTGAAATCGCCTAAGGGTGCAACACATTACTGTATACAATCAAAACAAAACCTTGCCATTTGTGACAACATGGATGGATTTTGAGGGTATTACACTAAGTGAAATAAGAGAAAGGTAAGTGCTGTGATTTCCCTTATATGTGGGCTCCAAAACCCAAAACAAATGAAAGAAAATTCATAGATAAAGAAAACAGATTGGTAGTTATCAGTTTGGGGGTGGGTGAAAGGGGTGAAGAAATACAAAAATTCTGGGCTGCATTATGGAGTCCTTAGCAATGAGATTATCATTTGGGTTGAGTGAGGGGAAGACGGCATCGAGGGAGCTGGCTGCTTGGCTCTAGGGAGAACAAACTGAGAAATCCAAACAGGCACTGAACCCAGAGGGTCCCACAACTTAGGGTGAACCTGGAGCACGTCAGGACTGCAGGGACCAGGGCTGGCTGAGCACCAGAGAAGAGGAGGAAAGTCAAATTGGAGCCACAATGCCATGGTGTGAGAAAAGGTGGCCTCCACCAGGGCGGAAACCAGGCCTCAAACCCCAAAGGGCAGGATGGCTCACTGAGGTCTAGCCTTGGGAGGGTGCTGTGGTGAGCTCGCACCCTCCCAAGGACCCCCTGCAAGGGTCCCACAGGTCTCACTCCCGAGTGCGCCTACATTTCTGCCTGTCTGTAACAACGACAGTGACAATATAGTAACAGAAAAACTCTCCCTGTGCTAGGCACTTCCTTTAATCCCTCCAAAAATGCTTACACAGTAAGAATTTTTGAACTTGTCGATGGGAAAGTGAGGCACAGAGAGGTTCTGTTACTTGTTCAAGGTCACAAAGCTACCAAGAAGAGGACAGAGCACTGAGCCCAAGAGGACTCCACTGGCACAGGCCCAGCCTTCATGGACTGTGGCAGAGTGGCCTTTACTGACCTCTCTGACTCCTCATCCTCACCTGTAAATGGCCCAGGACTGTTGTGAGGATTAAATGAGATGTTATGAAATACTAAGTGTGTAATACAGGCTAGCCATAATACTGTCTTCCTGTTATTATTATCGTACCACATAGAAATCCCTGCCTGACATCAATGTCAGCCTCCAACTATCCCAGCCGCTCACCTGCTCAGGGAGGTCAGGGTGGAAGAGCTCAGGGCTTTGTTCAGAATTGGGAAGGAGCCCTTCTTGGCTCCTTTTTTCATAGTTCAGACTTTCCTGCTATTTTTTCCACTGGAGGACTCAGCCTGGAGACAGATCATTCGATTGGAATTTAAGAGTTGGAAATGGCCTTGGAGTGTCCAGTTCCCTCCCTGCACAAAGGAGGAAAACACAGCTCAGAATCATGAAAACATTGCTGAGCAGCTCATGCTGGTGCCCTTACTATTCCTTTGTGGGTCTTTTCAACAGGTCTTTGCCCTGTTTAAAATGTACACAAACAGCTCTGAGATTTCCTTTTCCTCCTTTCCTTCAAGCTCCAGTCTCACCAACTTTATGTAATGCATGTGATTCTTTCGGCTCATGGCTTCTTCCACTCTTCCAAGCAGATGAGCTGATGCCCAGAGCTCGTGTGGAATCCATGCCACAGGTGCAGGTTGCTCACGGGGTACAGGATGAGGCAGGTGGGCCTTGTAATCAGGTTCCAGCAGTCCTAGGTCTCCCTCCCTCCTGGATTCAGTCTCTGAACTTGCCCCACCCAGCTCCATGCCCCACCCCCCTCAAGATTACCCCTTAGCCAGTGACTACCTTAAGTAGGACAGAAGGCCTTGCAGGTCAACTGGGCTCTCAGACTCTCGGATCTGTGCCCTGGACATTAGGCCTTGCCTCGCATTTGGCTTGGCATTGCTGTACTGGCTCTTCTGTCCTTGGATGGAGCTACTGCATTCCAGGTAGGTTTATGCCTGTTCACAGGCAGGTGCATAGACCCCTTCAGAACACAGGGGTCAGCTGCTCCAAGCAGGTGTTTGACACCATGATTAAATTAACTTCAAATGGGAGGAATTTTCTGGCTCACTTGTTCCCTTAATAACTGAATAAGAATCATAAATGCTTAGTTGG